GCCAGTTACCTAGTTGAAACGTAAGGAAACATTTTCCAACAATATGATGCCATAATATACTTTTTAATCGAAATGCCATAAATCGTTTTCTTTTGTATTTTATGGTAATGTATTAATGTATTTTTGACTTCTTGAACAGTCTTGAAATAATAAAATTAGCATATTTTGTTCAAAAAAAAAAAAAATAGCATATTCGACACAGTTTTAATATTGGTCAGCTTTAGGAATAAAACAAATGTTTCATTTTTTTTTTTTTTTGTCAGCAAAGTGCAAGACTTCCATTATGCAACCAAAGTTTACAAAATACATACAAACTGCATTTCAATACCAAGAAACAACATAAGGCATTAAAGTGGATCTAGCACTTAGCCAACATATCTGCATCAGAGTCATTATCTCTTTTGATAAACTTGAAGCTGTATCCTTGACTTTGCCCAACCATTGCGCTAATATCCTTCATATAGGAAGCTAGTTCATGATGTCCCCACCCCTGGTCACTTCTCCTCTGTGCTTTGTTGATGAGTTTTTGATACACCTCCTTAGCATCTCCACAAAAGCACACTTCTTTGTAATTCAATCTTCTCATCTGACTAATGGCTTCCCTTAGGGCTATTGCTTCTGCCTCCATTGATGTTGCGGTTGGCTCTATTGAAGCACTTGCTCTAATAATAAATCTTCCCCCTTGATCTTTTAAGATCCAACCTATGCCAGCCTTTTCCTCCGGAGAAATCCGGCATCTACAAAACAAGAGAGCGAATTAGATTGGTGATTTACTCCACACTAGCTCTATTAGGTTGTTTTCCTGCTTGAATCTCATCTGCATTGCTCTCCAAATTAGCTTCCCACCACAGTTTCTGCTCAACTATGCTTTTATTAATAACATCCGGGATTGACCACTTCTTATTTTGAAAAACAAGATCATTTCTTGTTTTCCAAACTCTCCAGCCTATATATGGAAACAACAACCCTGATTCTGAATCATTTTGATTCTCAGCTAGAAGCACTTCCACATTCCTAGCTACTTCATCTGACCCTAGTTGTCTCTTGATATCATCTCTAATTGGGGAGAGCTCCCAAATTTCCTACACTG